GGAAGACGCCTCCCCCGGGCCCCCGGGAGCCGGGCGGCGGGCACCGTGGCGCCTCCTCCAGCTCGTCCAGCTCCTGCCTCGGGCCCCGAAGTGGAGCAGCGGAGACGCCCCTGCGGCCCATCTGGATCCACTGCCCAGGCCACTCAACTTGAGGCCGCAGAGCCCTGAAGGCTGCCTTTCCGGAGCAAGACACCCTGGACGCTGGATCCCGCTCCCCGCGGGGCCGGGAGGTTACAGCCCCAGGAGGCTGCGCGGCGCTGGGCGCAGAAGATGCGTGCGTGGGGCTGGGACACCTGGCCACCTCGGTCCACTCTGGGAGTAGGTGCGTTTGGTCATATTTGTTGCTAAGCGGAAAGCAGAAGGGGCAAAACCTCCCTCAAACCACACAAAGCAGCTTGGGCTTCAGGTTCCCAAATACCCCACTCACTCAAGCCCCCATTTCTACAATCACCTGTACCCACCCAAATCCCCTTCGGAGCCACCAAACTTCACAACGGGACGAGTTTTTGGAAATGGATCAAGCCAATCCCTTCATTTAACAAAGACGGTCCAGGGAGATTCTGTCGCGCAGCTACTATCTTGGCACAAGTTCTGAACTTGGCCTGAAGAAGCTCCAAACATCAGAAAGAAGACAAAATAACTAAACCTCAATTCTTTTCAATTCGGAGATGAAAGTAAGGTTTTGTCTAATGGCAGCCAGTGTTTTCACTCTTTGGGATTAGTGAATTCAGTAAAAAGACCAGTAAGAGCCGGGAAAGAGAAACAGTGTGAAGAAAGGAGATGTTTGCAAAGTAACGAATTGAGAAAAGCAGCCAACGCCTTGAGTGTAACAACATGACAAGAAGGAGCCATTGGAGCCCAGACATATATGGAAACAAAGAGGTAGATTCCCTACAAATATGCAATTACTGTACTTTATTACAACCGGAGCTGTCCAGCGGGAGAAGGCAATTGTAGCTTGGGGATAGGGATTTCCATGACGTCAATGGCTACACCCTGGACGTTGTGCCAGATCCCGTGGTAGCCTCCCCAATATCCACTCCCACTTACCTAGGTAAACACCCCTTGTTCTTAGGGTCACATGCCTGCCCTGGCTGCCTACTGGAGTATATGGTTCCAGTATAAGCAAGTTAGCATAATTCCAACCTAAATAAATCAGCATGGTCCCATTCCCTGCTACAGTTATTGGTTGGCAATGGACATGACACAGTTGGGCCAATGAGAGAAGCTATTTGCTGAGGTCTCTGGGGAAAGTTTTTGTCTGTTTGTTTCACATTCCAAGAGCTTTAGAAGCAACCTTTCTGCATGTACTCAAAAAAAAAAAACAAGGAGCATAAAAATACCGCCGCTCCCCCTACATTGAAGGCATGTTATCAGCATATTATATGAGGCAAAAAATCCAGGGGCCCCTGAACTGTGGGTAGCCATCTTCCAACCACAAGGCCCAGTCAGATTAAAATAAAGCATACATAAAAAAAGCATAGACAGAAAGTGATGTGATCTTTGATGATGTTTTTGAGCCTCTGATCAAACAGCTTCTGAATCCAGGTTTCCCTTCATTGATTAAACCAACAGGATTAGCATTTTCTGCTACCTGTAATCTAGTGTGTTCTAAGCAATGTAGGTCTAGTGACTTTTTTATAGCAAATACCTAAACATCAAATGAGAAGTCCGACTAAAACTTAAGTCAGCGGTAAGATTCGATGGCTCAGCACTAAAACTGAAGTGAAATCTTGGGGAAAGGGGTTCATGCTGTTTCAAGAGAAAAGGAGAGCCAATTTCTTCTTATACAATTAATTAGAAGGAAGAAATAGCATTCTGCCCAAACCCTCAGTCATGGGAGCTCCATCACTCCTTTAAAAGATTGAATGGTGAAGTTTTTCATAGCTATTATGGGCCATATCATTTTATACTTAATTTTCCTCAGTACAGTGTACACTTCTTGAGGGCTAGGACTGCCATGCATTTGTCTGTACCATATACCTAACATGGTGCCAAGTGCATAGTAGACACTCAAAAAAGAGGGGATGGAATTAGGTCTATCATTTGACATTTTTTCATGCTATAATATTATCTTTATGTGTATCATTTTTAATAGGATATTATTCCCACCAATGGATTTCTTATTCCTGACATGTATAGAAGACAGAAAGTATAAAACGAGTTTTATGTCACTCCATAAAGAGGAAAAACAGGGAAAGCAAATGGGCCTTGCTTCCTTGGGAGATTGACTTGACCTTGATCTCTTGTTAAGAAGGCAGGTATTTGAGGAAGCTCAACGAGAAGAAGATAGAAAGAGAATAGAGCTAATCAAGTCAAGTGGCAGGTTGCTATCTATATGAAGTGACAGGCCTCCTAGTATTATCTACTTAGAACCAAGGTTGATGGCTAATGAACTCCCTTGTAGCTCCCTGCTCCATAGAAGAGCAAATAGAAGTCCATGCCTTTTTTTCCTCACAGCTATCCCCTTGGGACTAAACAAAACAATTTTATGTTACAGTTTAATGAGAAGTATTACCTTCGGTTTATGGTACTCCATTACTGATGAACTAAAAGCCAAGGCACTACTAGTCATCAACAGTTCACCGTACTCATTCTCTTCTATCAGCCAGCAAGAATCCCTCACCTCTGTGGACTTTTCTGGTATAGATTTTGCCTTTTTTCTGTGTTCATAAATAAAAGAGTTCTCTATTCCTTGCTAGTGTCATTTATTATTTAAGCCATAAATGCCTTGTATGAATGCTATTTTCAGATTTAAGGAGCTATTCCCTAATAGTCCATCTCATATCTAATGTCTTTTTCCCTTTTAGGGTTTCTTCTTTCATATGTCATAAAAGCATACGTTTACACTAAAATCGAGATAAACTCAGGGGTCAGAAAAAGGAAAAAACTGTCAAACGCTCTAAAATGTCAAACCTAGAAAGCCACAGATTTCATTTTTTAAAAATTTGGTAGAGTTGATCAAGTACAATAAATAATAATTTCTCTTTTCCATATTCCTATGTGTATCTTGGCACAGTGCCTAGTATATAGCGGATGCTAAATAATATTTGCTGAAAAATGAATTATTCTACACTTCTAGGTAGAAACAGCAGTTTAACACACACTCCAAATTTTGTTTCCTCTTATAATCACATTAAGACATCAATAAAGAGATTTTTTTAAATATTATTATAGAAAATTTCAAACCTATTAAAAAAGGTAGAACAGTATGAAAAACCTCATGTACTTAATTATTATGGACTCTTCTTCTATCTTTCCTCCACTTTTCTACCCCCATGTTAAAGTAAATTCTGTACATCATGTCATGTCATAAAATGACTTTTTAAGGAATAAAAGCATGGGGAGCCAAAGAAAAGACAATGGCAACAGAATTTGAGAAGGCTTTTAGCTGGAAAAGTGGAAAATGTAGACTAACAAAATTAATTCTTAAAGCAGCACTGAGGTAAATCAGTCACCAAACCCATCACTGCAGTATCACCAAACAACTCATAACTAACCATAACTAGTCACTAAAAGACATAACTAACTCCCGTTGAAGTGAGAAAGAGGGAAGTACTATAAGGAGGTTGTTTGCAAATATGTTTAAAAAGCAATCGGAGCCCCAGATTCCCTTCCCAATTCCATGCAGTCAGGCAAACAAATGCCTCCCTCCTACCTAGATAAAATACTGCAAACTTATTCTCTGCAAATAGTGAAACAGGAGGTCTTGGCAGGGTGGGGGTGGAGGGGATAGGAGGATTAAGTGAACATTGTATATTGGATGCTGAGACCCCCAGACATCTTTATCAACTTGGCTCCCAGATTTCAGCAGCCAAGTCTTCAACTTCCAAGGGAGATTAGATGATACTTCTCTATGAAATATGATCAACCTAAGAGGAAAGATTTGAAGATACTGATATGGGAGGTTCCCTAACTATACACCCAAACAAATTACAGAGAAGTTTAAACAGGGAACAACTAATAGAACTCTTGGAAAAGCTGAGAAAAACCCACCCATTCACTCAGTATTTCCCACCAGCATTTTGTTGCCCTATTCTTAAATATGAGCAGACAACCAAGGATTATCAGACATTTGAGGGAAGCCACTATCATATGAGACATTTAGACATTTAGAGCATTTAGAATTGAAGACAGAGGGTATAGATGGGGGTAGGGAGGGCACTTGATAAAAGAGAAGAGAAAGTTAAGGAAATTTCCTAGAAAGCAGAGCAAAAAGAGAGCAGTTTAGGAGGTGAAAAATCCAAATAACAAGGGGTCCAAAAAGAAAGGTGAGGGGGAGAAAAGAGGGAAGTCATCAGTGAAATTATCTAAGAAAAATTCCATGAGTTACCAAATTAAATGAGTTTACCAAACGCCCACCACAACAGATAAAAATAGATCTATACCAAAGCAGGTGACCAGGAAATTTGAGCACACAGCAAAGGGAAGAACTTCAAGCTTCCAGAGAGAACACAAAACAGGACAAATACAAAGGGCTAAAAACAAAATGGCACCCATAGTTCAATAACAATACTGGAAACTAGAGGGCAATGGAACAAGGCCTTCAAATATTCCAAAGGAAAAAAAAAACTAGCTAAATGGATTACTGATTTGGAAGTATTTTAAAAATAACTCTAGCTCTCTTCCACGGTTCTGTCTACAGAGGTGGCGGCCATATCCTATTTGGCATTATGGTTTCCCAGGATCATTAAAAGGCCCAAGAAGTTCACCCAGCACCAGTCAAACAGCTATGTCTAAATTAAGTGCAACTGGCAGAAACCTAGAGGCATTGACAATAGGATGCGCAGAAGATTCAAGAGCCGGAGTTTAATGCCCAACATTGGTTATGGGAGTAACAAGAAAACAAAGTACATGCTACCTAGGGGCTTTTGGAAGTTCTTGGTCCACAATTTCAAGGAGCTTGAAGTGCTGCTGTTGTGCAACAAATATTACTGTGCTGAGATTACTCAGGATGTCTCCTCAAAGGATTGCAAAGCCATTGTGGAAACTGGCCACCAGTGTCACCAATTCCAATGCCAGGCTGCACAGAAAATGAATAAACAGCTTGTGTGCACATTGTATTTGTGTTAATGAAACTATAATATTCTTTAAAAAAATAATAACTCTATATATCATTTTTAAATCAAATAATGCCTTTATCCAGTTTGGATCATTGTGATTTACGGATACAGAGATACACCCAACTGTGTCCCAGATAGAATACACAGTGGTATCACTTGCAAATACACACACAGTTTTTGCTATTTTCTTGGCATCTCTAAAGCATTTTTAAAATATTAGGGTCTGCTGAACTTTTGGCAAGCAAAGAATCCTCTTATTTAATTATTTTTATTCTCTTTTGAGCACAGTCAAATTCAATATATGTATTTTTTATAGTCAGATCTCGTTTATTCACTACAATGAGAGAAGCATCCTAAAAAGCAAATACCTTTTTTGGAATATATCTTTGCCAAATATTCGAAGAGGCAGGTGCCTAAAAACTAGAACAACTAGTAGAACTGTCTTGGAAAAACTGACAAACATCATACTACTTATTTTGCTCCACCCACTTAATCACTCCTTGTTAATATCAACAAAAGATATGGAATACCAACGGAGACTGAAGACATCCCACAACAATGTAGGCTCCATGGAGGCAAAATTTTTTTCCTATTTTATTCATTAGTGTATTCTAAGTAGCTAAAGGACAGTGCCAGGTACATAGTATGTGCTTAATATTTGTTGGCTTTATGAAAAACTGAAAGAATAAATGAATGACAGAAGGTATTTTAATATTCAAAATAGCAGCTGTATTTCCAAGTAGCCAGGATTTTGAAAAATAAATCTTAAATTTGCACCTATAATCTCCTATTGACACTGTTATGTAAAACCTACAAAAGAACAATAGTAGACATTTGTCATAGTCATGAACGTCCACCACCTTTTAAACAGCCATTTTGTATTCAAGGACGTTGCCATGATATGACTCTTGCCTCTCTAACATGTAAGTCAGAGCCAAAAATTTCCAAGACTCTGCAGCCAGGACACAGACTTCTGACCTAGGCACCTACAGACTTTGGCTCAGAAGTGAGCAACGAGAGGAAACAGGCTTTGGTAGAGCTGCCATTTTGTCATTTGGTTGTTGATCTTTTCCTTTTTGATGTGTAGAGCTCCTAACTTAATATCAGACATAGCCCTCTTTCTGTGATATTAGTTGCAAATGTTTACACTTATAATTTCTCTTAATTTTAAAAACTGTTTTATGTAATCCAATGGATTTATCCTACATGGGCATCTGAGTTTTACATAATATTTAGGAAGGTCTATCTCTCTTTGAGATTATAAAAAAGAAAATTAGCTCATAATTTTTTCTGGAACTTTTGTAGTTTGATTTTTTGTTTGTAAATCTTCAACTTATCTGGAATTTATTTCGGTATAAAGAGTAAGGTAAGGGCCCAATTTATTTTTTCCAGTTAGCTGTACAGTTGGCCCCAATCATTCATTGAATGCCATGCTCCGAATTAGATATCTATACTAAACTACTTAATCCATTAATTCGGTTCACTGCATTAAAGAACCTGTGCTCAATTATCAAGAAAGAAAAGTGGGAGATGAAAGAAAATAACCAGGAGAACTCTAAGTTTAGAGGTTAAGCTTTTATGAGATTCTTGTTACTCTCAGTGATAATCTCATTCTTTATCACCTGGACAGACAACTTGGTGTCTACAGTTGATAACACTTCCAAGAATTATTAAGATGAGCCATCCCTTCCTTGTCTGATCATATACTAGCTCCCTAATACTTGGGTTTTTAGTGTGTAGAAGTTTTTCTTTGTTGTGGTAAGGAGGCATTTATTACATGTGCTTTAATATGGTAAGGATTCTGTTCTTTGTTTTTTATCTTATCTATTTTGGAAATAATTACTCCTTAGTATATAGGTTTAGCCTGCACATCTCTCTAAATATGTAAGCTGACTTTCATCATGCCACTATGAGCACATGTGTCCTTGAAGCTGCCTACCTTAAAAAGACAATACTGGAATCCTCTCAAAGGGTAGAGATTACCCTTAAATATATGAACAGACAGAGCCAGGCCTGAGATTTTCATGGGAGTAAGAAAATTTTTTCTTGGCTTCCTCAACTACTCTTGTGACCTCACCTTTCTTACTTCTGAGAATAAGCAGATAGACACCACTTAGAACAGTGGTTTCTCAAAGTGTGGTCCCTGGACCAGCAGCATCAGTATGACCTGACATACAGAAAGCCATTAAGCTAGAAATGCAAGTCCTTGGGCTTCATCCTAGACCTACTTTGTGAGTGGAGCTCCCTCTCAGAAACTCTAAGGGTGGGGCTAGCAATCTATTTTTAACAAGTCCTCCCTGTGATTATGGTGCACACTAAAGTTTGGGAAACAGTGTCTTAGAATGGTGGTCCTCTGAGGTCCTTAATACTTCAGGATAATAAAAATGAACATGAAGTGGGCAGCCAGAGCATATTTACCTTGAAGAGGTAATGACCATTGGAGAAATGTACTTAACAAGATGGGGCAACGCTGAAAGGAATAAAGTACATGTAAATTAACTGTTTTTAAATAGTTGCTAAAAGCAAAAGTTATTGCTGGTGAAAAGTCCAGAAAGAGGACACTAGGTGACATCAAGTTTGCCTCTCACCACATGTCAGATGTTATAAATCTTTTCATACAAGTCATTGGTA